ACCAAGAAAATGCATGGACTTGTCAAGACAAGATACTAGGTGTCCAGATTGATTCGAAGGACCACCCCCCAAATATTACATAATATTTTTATATTCATTTTTGCACCATCAACTAGGGTGGCGTATGCAGTCAAGTGCTCACATAGCCAGAGACAAACAACAAGTACGCTTTTGTGGCTGGTAGGGCAGGTGTGTCTCTATATACAAGTGAGAAATTTATTGGTATTTTGTTGGAGTGTGGTGCTAATTGCATGGAGTACCTAGGGCTTTGCTGGAAGCTAATTTGATCTAATGGTTAAGGCACCAGACTAGAAAACAAGAAACCATGAGTTCAAGTCCTCCCTTAGCCATGAAAGCTAGCTGGGTGACTTTGGGCCAGTCACTCTCTCTTAGCCCAGTCCACTTCACACAGTTGTTGTTGTGAGGAAAGTAGGAGGAGCAAGATGTGCTGAATTTATTCGCCACCTTCGGTTATTTATAAAAATAATAAAGATGGGATATAATTAATTAATTAATTAATTAATTAAGGACCATTATTAATTAGCAGTATCGCTATCTTGATTTTTTTTATGGTAACTTAAAGCAATTCCACTCAGTAAATCATTCAATTATTGTTCAATTTCTATAGCCACCCATCTCAGTCAATGACTCGGGGTGACTTACAATGAAAAAATAATACATTGGAAATAAAACATTAAAAGCATTTTAAAACAATAAAAACAATAGAATAGAAAGATCCAAATTAAATATAGATAGCAGCCAAAATACTTGGCCAGTTAACAATAGAGCCAGGAAGCAGGGCCCTTGACACATTCAGCACCCCAGCTGTAGGAACATAGCCAGGTTTATAGAGCCTTACGAAAGGCTAACCGGGGTAGTTGGAATAACAGGTGGCCCACAGTCAGGTAACACTTCCTGTTCCTAACCTGTTGCTCTCTTGGAACAGATTCAGACAAGGGCAGTAAGGATGAGCAGAAAACTAAAATTAAAGTTCTGTGATGGGGCTGGAAATGATTAGTCTTGAATTACTCAATTGGTGGTTGTTTTGAGAGTATGGAAGGATATCACACAGAAAAGGGCTGAGACCTGTTTTCTATCATTTCAGACAAAGAATAATTAATTTAAGTTATAGAAGAAAAAAATTCTAGTTGAATAGTAGGGGAAAAAAACCTTCCCGATAGTAAGATCAGTTTGATCAGTTACTCTGAAAGATGGGATATTCTTATCACTGGTGATGTTCAAGTAGAGCAGGGGTAGTCAACCTTGGCTCTTTTATGACTCGTGGACTTCAACTCCCAGAATTGAAGCTGGCTCAGGAATTCTGGGAGTTGAAGTCCACGAGTCATAAAAGAGCCAAGGTTGACTACCCCTGAAGTAGAGGATTACTGGGTTGTTGCCTGGAGCAAAGGGTTGGGTTCAGGAGCCTAAATGGCCTCTTCCTGTACTGAACTTCTGTGAAGTCTTGAAGTAAACTCTCCTCATCCTGCACCTAGCAGCTGGACTATGCACAAGATTAGGCAAGTATTTCTAATCAGTTACACAACTGAAACTATTCAACATAAAGCAGTCGGCACTCCTAGCTTTCTTCATATTAGTTGCTATTAGTGCTATCATAGGCAAGCACCACTGTGCAAGTCCACTTACCTGTTTAATTATTAATTTCTTTGGGGTTTTTTTTGTTTTTTTGCAATAGCAAAGACACCTTTGTTTGTATTGGACTCCATGAAGGTGACCCTACCTGGAAAAAAGACTATTCCCTTTGGCCCTGGGGCTCTTGTGATAAACTTGTATCTTCAAAAGCTCCCTTTGATCCTGAAATGTGGATTGAGCGTACCCAAAATCTCTATAACTGGACTGAGGAATATGGAAGGTAAGTGACACATAGTTGATAGTAGCTTCTAAAAAGTTGCAAGAAGGGAGTTGGAAGAGTGCAAATGTGAAACCTCCTACCCTTCGTTCTTTTTGTCATTAGTGAAGATATAGTGGTAGCATCAAAAGTATGTTTGGTATGGATCCAGAGAGGGTTTGGATAGAATCGCCAAGAGCTGGAGGTGACTGAAGGGATAACATCATCATACTTGTTCCCATTTCCTCAACTGCATCTAGGAAGTTTCAGTTATCCTGCTCATGCTCTGTCTTTGGGGGACCTCTATCTGTTCTTGCATATCAATTTACCTGTTTCTTTTTAAGGTTTGACTCATCTTCCTGGGAGTTGGTAGCAAATGAAGAGATGTGGCAAGCCAGGTGAGAGCCTGTTCCCTTCCCATGTTTCAGAAAAGGCCTGAAAGAGAGGATAATCATATCAATCTACATACAAATTAATTATATTGCACATTGTAACACTGAGTAGGTAAAGCTCAGAGGAAGCATGGTGGGAATCTAGGAAGCAGAAGCTGGTGTCTAGCAGAAGAATGGAATATTACCTTGAGTTAATAAATTAAGACAATTGGTGCCCTTCAGATGTTCTGGAGTGCAACTTCTAATGCCATACCCAGTAAACACCAGCTTAGTATAGTAAACTGGGATACAGTCATTCCATGGGGAAGTAGAATCCTGCCTCCTCCTTCATGGATGTCAGTTGCTGTTTAAAGAATATACAGCTCCCTTCTGTTTGTTTTTTTCCTCCTAGGATGAAAACAGCCTTCTTTCTTTTTGACCTTGCAGAAACTGGTTCCCCATCTGTGAAAGAGAAAGCAAAACTTTACATGCTTGCTTATAAGGTGAGCGCTTTTCCCTTTGGGATAGAAAAACTCAAGCTGTCTATATGTTTGCGCATGGATAATTCATAAGTCTGGGGCAGGAATCATTAGTAATTTTGCATTATGTACTTTGGCCACTTAATGAGAAGGAAGGACTCACTGGAGAAGAGCCTAATGCTGGGAAAGATTGAGGGCAAGAGAAGAAGGGGACGACAGAGAATGAGGTGGCTGGATGGAGTCACTGAAGCAGTAGGCGTGAACTTAAATGGACTCCAGAAGATGGTAGAGGACAGGAAGGCCTGGAGGAACGTTGTCCATGGGGTCGTGATAGGTCAGACATGACTTTGCAACTAATAACAATTGAGTGCAGTCAAAAAGTGGATGCAGTAAGAAACTGGCTATTCACAAAATGGGTGTCGGGGTAGGTCAATCTTAATGTACCTGTTTAGACCAGTGTTTTGATGTGTGAACTTCAACTTCCAGTATTCCCAAGCCAGGTGATGGCTGGGAGTTTCTGGGAGTTGAGATCTACATGTCTTAAAATTGTCAAGGTTGAAAAACACTGTACTGGGTTATTGTGATGCTCCCTTTCATCTGAGTGGGCCAATTGCCATGCCCTCAAACATCCCGGAAAGTCATTATGTTGCTAGGGGCTGAGGCTTTATAGCAGACCAGCTTCCTATTTAATATTTTTTTTTATAAATAAACTGTATAAAATGTCATTTGGGCACCAAGGGATGCTCCTGGGGTCTAAGTGCTATCTATCCCTGTGTTTATATGGTTGATTACTGTTGACCTTTCCACTGGTTCCAATCATCAGATGGATTTATATAAAATCGTACAGCCACAACCAGAAGATCTATTTCCATCTGTCTGGCCACTAGGCATAAGGCTGGATTGGTATCTTTTCCTCCCTGCCGTCATCTGCTTTAGGGCTCTGAATAGGGCATGATAGCTGCAGGATCCAATCTGGGTCAGTCACAGGGACCAGAGTTTTACTGTAGTCTTCCAAACTTTCGGACTCATGCTGAAGCCCATCCTCAGGGAACTTTTCTCTAGCAAAGTGTTCCTACAGAGAGAAGTTCCCTGAAGACGGGCTCCAGCATGAGTCCAAAAGCTTGGAAGACTAAACTGCTGCTCCCGGTGACCGACCCAGATTGGATCTTGCAACATTATCCTCGGATACGTATATTTGCCTTCATTCGTGAGGGCAATGATAGCTGTTTCTACCTCACTGCTCTTGAGTGCTGCCTCTAGATAGCTGGAGAGGTTCTCCTTCAGTTTGCCCCAGAACTATGGGACCTTGTCACTGTCTTGTGGTAGCAAGCCAGGTGCCACAGCTAAGCTTACTTGGGAAGGTTAGCAGACTAGTGGGATGGCAACTATGAACGTCCACTGAAGGTAGTGCCTTGATGTTCCTCTACTAGAGTAGGATCTCATTTTATAATTTGTAGAACCAAGCAGAAGCAGGAAGGTATTTCCAGTGAGCAAAGACAGAGCCAGAGCCTCTTTCATGGGTGATTAGCTAAAGAATAATATCATAGCAAGTTTTCTATGTCTTCCCCCCTCTTGAGAGCTTTGGTCATGCTTTGCTACCTGCAGGTCTTGTAACTGTGTGAATATGAAGAAGGACTGGGGTTGCTTCTGTATCAGTAGCAACTCAAGTGCATGTACATTTTTCTTTCCACTCTCCCACGTTTGAATAATGGTGACCTAGGAATAAAATTGATACAATTTAGAGAAATAACCCAAGTTCAGCTCTTTTGCTGTTTTCATAGGCAGAATGGCTCCGCTAGAAATAAAACACATCTTCAGTTCATTTTTGCTTATCCTCACCCTTTTGCTCTCTAGCTTCTCTCTCTTACTTCTCTCTTCCAGTTTACCTTTCAGATTTATCCTTGGGATTATTATTCTTTAGTTTCCCCCTGAGAATCCTACATCTTTATTCCTCTTTTCAGTTGGATGACATCAGAGCAGTTTGCCCAATCATCAGCCGCACACATGAAACCTCTTAGCTCAAATCCTATACACACTGACTGGGGAGTGCTTAGCCGGGCTTATTTCTGAATAGAAATGCAGAGAGTTGCATTTCATGGTTTAAAACATATGCTCATAAATGGTGTCCTATTTTTCTTCAGTTGCAGAGACTTTATTTTATGTAGATGCTGTTTATGCCATGGTTGACCGCTTTAAAAAAAATGAGCAAATATTTGTAATATGGGGAAATGATATATCTGAGAATTCTCTTCAATCCTGAACTGTCTTCTGTGATTTACAGCTGTACAAGGAAATTGTAAACACGTATAAAACTCATCCAGTGAACTGGCACAAAAATTACGCTATTGCCTGTGAGAGGGTGCTGCATCTTCACCCAGCAAGGGAAGACCCAGAAGTGCTACTCTTAGCAATCATCAAACACTTCCGCCTTTACTTGGAGAAAGCTGCAGATGATCCCCAGCAGAGCAGTATTTTGCAAGCCATAAAGCATATGAAGAAAGAACTTCGGGAACTGAGAAAAGTGAAGAAGGCAGCGAGGCGACCAGTGTAGGACATGTTGAGCTCAAGGAAAAATCTGTTGGAAAGGAAATGAAGAGTAAGAGAAGGATTCCATAGACGGAAACAAAGCAAGCTTAAAGGCAGTGTTTTAGATAGGAGGAAAAGACTAATCAAGAGAAGGGCTTTTGTTGGTATAGAGAAGCATAAACACAGGTTGGGGAAAATGAATTGGGATTTTTCTCTCTTTTGATGTTACAATGTGGGGGGGGGGGGGTCATTAAATGAAGATGAATGTTGGAGATTCTAACTGAAACTTCTTAACACAGTGCATTGATAATTGGAGCCCTGGTGGCGCAGAATGAAATATTGCAGGCTAACTGCCCATAGTCTGGAATTCAATCCTGACTACTGGCTCAAGGTTGATTCGGCATTTTTATTCTTCCGAGGTTGGTAAAACAAGGACCCAGATTGTAGGGGGCAATATGCTGACATTATAAACTGCCAGAGAGTGCTGTGAAGCACTGTGGAGCAGTATATAAGTCTAAGTGCTATTGCTGTTGCTAATTTGCTTCCCTGGTTTATGGCTGCCAACTACAGTCAGGTGAGGTCAGCTCTGATTATAGGATACATTTACAATGTATTGTTTTCTTGTCAACAATATGGAAGCTGTCTTCTTCTGATATGGTCCTTTAACTTTCCAATCAAGTGCACAGTCTTGGCATTTACTTGGTGGTCTCCCATTCACATACTAAGCAAGATTGACCCTGCTTGGTTTTTTTAAGAATCAGGTATGTTTGATTAGGCACTGTCACTTGCTGTGAACATGGCTATCAGATGGGATAAAAGGACACAAGGCAGATTTATATTGACAGAGAGTCATACCAAGCTTGGAGCATCTCAAAAGCATTCAGTTGAGTACTATTGGGAGGACAATGTTGGACTTGAGATGTCTCTGATCTGACCTAGCAGGATATTCATATGTTCTGTTTGATTTATCCATTTGTATATGTTTATGTGCTACTATTTAGTGATAACATCAGAGTCAAGATCTTAATAGCAAAAACTGACCTGACGAAATTGGCCTTTGATAATCACAGAATTCATAGAAGTTAATGGAAGTTTTTCCATTGTTTGTGTGCATTGCTCAAACACCACAGTGTTTATTTTAGAAAAACAAATGCTCATTTCAAGGATCAGACATGTCTACTTAGGACCAGCTTACCTCTTGAAAGCCAGTGGTCTCTGTACCCCCAACTTCTTTTCATAAGATAAAATGTACACTACTTGCAACTTTTTCTGAATAGATATGATCTGACTAGAATTAGTACTACAGGCAATCCTTATTTAGTGACTGCCTTGTTTAGCAACTGTTCAGATGGTGATGAAAATGTAACTTTGCAATCAGTCCTCACATTTACGATTTTCACAGTCTGTAAAGCAAAAGATAGCTGAAATAAGATCATAAGCAGAGATGTGGCTTCATTTACTGACCTCTTCACTAAATGACCAAGTTGCTGGTCCCAACTGTGGTCATTTAAAGAGGACTACATGTACTCTAGTCACCTCAGAAGTAGATTACTGTAGAAAAATTCAAAAGGGATGGACCATATTTTATAAATTGAGTATACATTATGAATATCAAAGGTCTCAACTTCAGTCACTTACATTTCTGCAAGAAAAAGCAGAGGTGCAGCTGATAGGAATTATATTTCTATCAGATTTTAGAGAGCCATTGATAGTAGTTTCAGGTATTTAAAATAAGTTGTGAGGGGGCTGGTTCACAAACTATAGTGAGAAATTGGATCACTTCTTACACTTCTGAGAAGAGCTGTACTTTCATACAGTTTTTTCTACTCAAAGTGCTGATTTTGAGCATTAGAATCCTCTACCTCTATCCTTTTGGGACCAGATAACTTTAAGGACTTATAATTTCTATATAAACTTCTCTGATTTCTGAGATCTTCCTTGGATAATGTCTGCCAGTTGAAGTAAGATAGGCTCAAGATGGGGTATATCCAAACTTGGACATCATGTGCAACTATGTGAAAATGGAAATGTGTACTTCTAGTCATAATGTTGTAGTTCTGCCACAGGATGGAAGGCAACCCACCAAATGGTTTTTTTACCGTTGTCAGATGTCATTAGTGGCAGAGCTCTCATAAACATCTTTTTATTGTTCCACACATTTTAATTGTAGATTTTTATATTGTTCTGATCCAGCTTTGTTTTGTTTAACCTCTTTTGTAGCTTTTGAAGGATGCTCTTGATGTTTGTTTTATTTATATAATACTATTCTTTCGGATTTACTAGTTGCACTGAGGGATTTTTACCTGAATAACAACATGAACATACATTTAATAAATAAGTAAATTCTTGTATTTCCAGTCTATCTTGTTGAAGTGCTCTTGTTATACAATACCTGCATTTATTCCATAAATGAACTGATAGAAAATCAAAAATAGCCTTTTGTGCCTTCACTTGCAATCTCATCAACTATATATTTTCTCAGGATCATCATATTTTTGCATCAATTCATAAAAGATGGATTTGCATCATAGAACATGAAAGTCTTTTATAGAAGGCATTTCTGTGTAAACAGGATGAATGAACTTCTCTGGAATATTATGAATTTTTTGCACATGTTAGAGATAGGTTCTTGGGGTGTGACCATCACATCTTTTCAGGAATTTCATCAAGAATATAAAGACCACATTCTTTTGTTCATTAGAAATTATTCCAATAACCATGGCTCAAACAGGAAAGACGCCTTTTTATTCTTGCTTTAGTTAATTCTCTCGTGATAAAAAAAACTGCATTTTTTTCTATGTGGATAGCAACTGATGGTAAAAGGAGATAAAGAATTTTTTCTCAGATTCCAAGGAGAATTCCAGTATGCATTCTAAAACTGAAACTATGAAATGATTTCTTCCCAGAAATCTTGTTTATTACTTGGATATTTATTTTGTTCTGTTCTTTTTAATTCAACATGGAGATATTTTCTAAAGCAAATCTAGAAATTCAGTGTAAAGGCACTTCCTCCAACACATTGTGCACATAGAGAGACCTCTTAATAAAAAGCAGTAGATAAAACTTTCAATTGCCTAAAACCATGATAGGCAGCAGAAGTTAATATTTGTGGATTCATCTAATGGTGATCGTAGTATATGAAAGACTGACAAAATGTAAGATGAAAAGATGGTAAAAAGCATAAATTAATAGAGGAAATGAAGAGAAAAGATGCATATTTTGAAAATTAAGAAAAGGAGTGTTTAATAGATGAGAAAGAAGATGTTCTGATCTTAGGGAGTGCTCCATCATTATTCAAGAAAAGATTAAACAGCCATTTGTCCAGGGCAGTATGAGAATTCCTGCATTGCAAAAAAGAGATTGATTAAAAGACCTCAAGGCTCCTTCCAGCCCTATCATTGTACATTTGCAGTTCTGTCTGGGGGCTAATACAATAAAGATGGTTCAATAATACCTGAATAAAAAAGGACTCTAATGTGATTTATTCCATTTGGATCTTCCATAGCTGCTCAATTTGCTCCCTATAAAAGAAATGACTGTTGTTCAGCTCTGTATACAATACAACAGAATAACAGAATTGGAAGGGACCTTGGAAGTCTTCTAGTGACTAGTCCAACCATCTGCTCAGGCAGGAAACCTTATACCATTTCAGACAAATGGTTGTCCAATCTCTTCTTTAAAACCTCCCGTGTTGGAACACCCACAGCTTCTGGAGGCAAGTTGTTCCACTGATTAATTGTTCTGTCAGGAAATTTTTCCTTAGTTCTAGGTTGCTTCTCTCCTACATTATTCCATCCATTGCTTCTTGTCCTGCTTCCAGGTGCTTTGGAAAATAGGTTGATCCCCTCTTCTTTGTGGCAACTCCTTAGATATTGGAACACTGTTATCATGTCACCTCTGATCCTTCTTTTCATTAAACTAGTATGTCAGGAACAGGCCGGGTTCTCTGAACAGGAATCATACTTGCAAAATGTAAGTTTCTCAGCTGGCCCCCTTTATCTGCAACAAACAGATTGGATCAATGGCCAACCTGGTTTGGTACGTGTTTCAAAGGGACCAAATCATCCTGCCAGCAGACTGAGAGCTGTTAATTCCATATGGAATGTCTAGATGAGCAGAAACCTCCAGAAGCACTGCCCTACATAGTCAAGGAGAGTTAGGGGCTATTTGACAGAAATTTAATTTTGATTGCTCTCGTGTAGCATCGCTCTGCTAAAGACGATCAAATGCAAGGTGAGGGGAGAGAGAGAAAGAGAAAGAGAAAGAAAGAGACTATTCCACTAGGCTCAGTTGCAGAAACCGGTTGCCAAGTAAAGGCATTTTTGCATTCTTCCTCATTACTTTCCTATTTGTGTTTTCACCTCCCTGTTTGTTCACTTGTAGATCTGGTCCTGTAATTAGCTGCAGAACCTACAGCTTACATTTTGAAAGGGGGGGCTTTTCATGGCAAGCTTTTCCCCCCTTTTTTCCCCTTCTCCCCACCTTCTTTCTCTTTCTTGTGTGTGTGTGTGTGTGTGTTTATTCCAGCCTTAAATTCGTGTTTTTTTTGTTACAAGAATCTTTCCCTCCTCACCCCACCTCCGCACATGAACTAAAAGGGAACAACGTTAAGAAATGCAAATAATGGCTCTTTCTTTGATTATGACAGTTAATTAATAGCAACCTGTTTTAATGAATTAAGTCACTCATGGCCCTTCAGCACTTCCTAAGGAGTAGCCAGAATCTGTGGGGATTCTTTTCCCCTTCCAATTGTATAGCGCCTAGACTCCCGAGCTCTATGTAGGCCCCTGTATAGAAATGTCCGCTTAATGATGAGGGAGGGTTTTCCAGCTTGCCTGCATTCAAAGATCACTGGTGAGCTATTCAGGGGCAGAAAAGGCCCCTTCTCCCCTGGCGAGGAGTAGTCACAGTTCCGCACCATTGTGTTAGCCGAGGTCCTTGATCAAAGGCCTCCTAGTGAACTCAACTGGGCTCTCTTTCAGACGACGGCCATAATTAAAGCCACTAATTCTCTTTTAAAAGTGCTGCAGGATGCC